AGGCACAATTTAAAAGAACTTCAGCCGGTCTTAAGGGACAGATATAGGGAGAGCTTGGGCGTTTGGATTTGTGTCACTCCCAGGTGGCAGATCCGTTGGGGCACTTCTCAGCCTCCCCCAGGCTGCCCGCTGTGAAGGAATCACAGATTCTAGCAGCTAAAATCTGAAGTGTAATAAGCTCTCCCTGCAAACTTATTGGGGCGCTCGTCAACCTCCTCCAGGTTGTCTGCTGCAAGGGACCCCGGTCTCAGCAGTTGAAGTCTCGGGTGTATAGCACACACACACACACACACACACACAATATAGGAAGAGCTTGGGCATTTGGATTTGTGTCACTCCCAGGTGGCAGATCCACTGGGGCACCTTTCAGTTTTTCCCTAAGGCTGCCCGCTGCAAAGGAATCTTGCATTCTAGCAGCTAAAATCTGAGATGTAATAAGCTCTCCCTGTAAACTTATTGGGGCGCCCGTCAACCTCCTCCAGGTTGCCCGCTGTAAGGGATCCCGGTCTCAGCAGTTGAAGTCTTGGGTGTATAACAGCACATACACACACCACTCACTGCCCTGACAATCGGCTGACACTCGCTCGTAGTGCAGGGGCTGGCAGATGGCGATGTGTCGGTCGTAGGCCATGACAGTGAGTAAGGCAATATTGGCTGCAGCAAAGTAGACGAAGAGAAAGACTTGGGCAACGCATCCAGCATAGGAAATTGACCTGGTGTTCATGAGGGAGTTGGCCATGGTTTTGGAAATGGTGATGGAGATGGCCACCTCTTGTGTTTGTAATTTTCATCTGTTTTGTTTTTATCAATGTGTCTTATGTGCAGATCTTCTGAGCAGTGCTGAGAATCCCCTCGGAGCAGGGCCTACGCAAAGCCTTCTCCACCTGCCTCCCCCATCTCATTGTGTTCTCTTTATTAATTTGCACTGGCGGCTTTGAATACCTGGCGCAGGTTAGTCACCAGAGATTAGTGAGGTCTTTTATTCTTACAGTGATTTCATTCTGGATAGTATCAGCTGATGTGAAAATTGTCTCCTTGAGAACGTAAGGTGCAATCTAGTTATGAAGTCATAAAATTGGATTAGTTCACATGAATTGGTGAAGGACTATACTGCGCTGTGACTAAGATGAGAATCAAAATATCTATCTATCTATCTATCTATCTATCTATCTATCTATCTATCTATCTATCTATCTATCTATCTATCTATCTATCTATCCCCACACACCCCCTCTATCTATCTATCTATCTATCTATCTATCTATCTATCTATCTATCTATCTATCTATCTATTACAGAGCGCAATTTGCGTACCTTTTTCCTGTAGTATAGACACAGCCTGAGCATTTTGCCTAGAATATCTATTATTGTAGCTAAATGTCTGATAGATTAAATGAATTCTCCAGCTCATCTTTTCTTTTGAGGTAAAAATTGTGCTTGCAGTATGAGAGGTTTGATTTGTGTGTTTGCTTGTTTCTGCCTACTTTAGCCGAGGCCTGATGCCAGGCCTTTTATACAAGGGTTAATGTTTTAGGCCCTCTTTTTACCAGAGTCTTGATCTCTTTTTGGGGTAATATTTGGAAAGTTTGGAGTATGTTTGATGAATGGGGATATCAGATTGTTTTGTCATGTATTCAAGGTGTCCACGGTCTAGGTTTCTTTCAAGATGTTTTCTGAGAGATTTCTTTCACATTTATAAAAATTTCCTAATCAATTTTGCTCTCCCCTTTGATGAAGATGGAAAAAATGTTTCACTGGGTGCCTGGATAATTGAGTTCCTTTTCAAAATATTATTTTTACTGAGGGTATGTCTACACTACCCTGCTAGTTCGAACTAGCGGGGTAATGTAGGCATACCGCACTTGCAAATGAAGCCCGGGATTTGAATTTCCCGGGCTTCATTTGCATAAGAGGGGAGCCGCCATTTTTAAAACCCCGCTGGTTCGAACCCCGTGCAGCGCGGCTACACGGGGCTCGAACTAGGTAGTTCGGACTAGGCTTCCTATTCCGAACTACCGGTACACCTCGTGGAACTACATAGTTCTGTCTTTTGTTTGTGCATTTGTAAATCTGTCTGTCTGTCTGCAAGTCCGTTTGTTTGAGAACTCTTCCTAAACAGTAAGAGCTGGGGCCACCAAATTTGGGATGCAGCTTCCTCTTCTCCTAACTTAAAGCACAGTCAGAGTTTGGTTGTTCCAGGAAAATAGGAAATGCCAGGAATGAGCAGAGAGAGGAGGGGTATGACACCCACACTCCCCCGAGGGCAGTGAACACGTGGGAGAGCTATGCTGCAGAGGGACCCCGAGTGAGCTGGCAGGGGGGAGCTAAAATGTGGACAGCCACACCAGCAAGACACTGGCCAGCTGTGACTAGGGCTCAGCATGTTGCTGGTCACCAAACAGTGCTGAGGGTTCCTCTGGAGCAGGACTGTCCTGTTTTTGTGCAGACAACACTAAAACGAAAGGCTGATTCTGCACCCCCAGAGCAGTAAGATGAGACTCTGCCAGCCAGTAGACTAGAGAGGTTTATTGCTTCTCCAGGATTCAGCACAGAATAGACCTGATGTGGACATAAGGAGTGTGACGGGGCTAATCTGCCCCGCACTGAGCAGGAGGGAGAGGAGCCCGTTTATTGGGTAGAGCATGCCCCTCCCTCACAGCCCTACTGGGCATGCTCGAAGTGCAGCCTCACTATAAAAGACTGCCGGGCTGCTCAGCTGGGGCAGACCGCCGGGGAGGAAGGCGCTCCGGCCCAAGCTGCAGGCCCGCCGCCAGACCTGCCGCCAGATCCAGAGCCGGAGGGATCGCCGCTATTGCTACTACCATCCCCGGGGCGTGCATGCCCCCAATGCCGACTCCGGGGGGCCGCCCGCCCCGCTGCAGGGGACACC